AACAGTTGTCATCATCACTAGGAGATGAGACCAAAGTTCAGGAGGGCCCCAAGGGGGCCGGGCACACCAGCCTGTGCCTGGAGAGAGAGCCGCAGTTGCAGGGAAGAGCTGTGGAGGGTCAGTGTGACTTGATTGGGAGGAGGAGCCAGGGCCTCGGGGAGCTGGGAAGACAGCGGCAAAGGCCTGGCAGGCTCTGAGTGCTTCATGGCAGATGGGGCCAGAAGAGAAGCACAGGTGTCCAAGTCAACCAGAAGGACACCTTCCAGGGGTCCCTGGTTTTGTCCTGAGCTGTCACTAGGAACAGTGACCTCTGTGTTTGTGTGTGTGTTTGTGTGCACGTGCATGTGTGTATGCATGCATGTATGTGTGTATGTGTTTGTGTGTATGTGTATGTGTGTGTGCACTTACACATGTGCATGGATGTGTGGGCACGAGTGTGCATGTATATGTGTGTATATATGTATGTGTGCACGTACACATGTGCATGCATGTGTGTTTGTGTGTATGTGTGTGCACGTGTGCATGGGTGTGTGCATGTGAGTGTGCGTTAATGTGTATATGTGAATGTGCGTGTATGTGTACATGTGTGTGTTTGTGTGCACATGCATGTGTGTATGAGTGTATGTATGTGTGTGTGTGTTTATGTGTGTGAGTGTGTGCATGTACACGTGTGCATGCATGTGTATGTGTGTGTGTGTGTGTGTGTGTGTGTGAGCAAAATGGGGAATTTGTCCCCAATGTATGACAGGCTCTAAGCTCTAGAATCCACTTAGAGTAAAAACTCTGTAAGTTGGAAACAGAGTCGCCCTAACCTGCCTCGTGTTGTTAGTCACACAGCAAGCTCCGGCTGAACTCCAAAGCGCCTGTGCCATCCTGAGAGGATTGGCTCCCATACAGCTAGAGTGATAAGAGTAAACTCCAGCATGTAAGTTTTCTACAGAATGAACTTTGCTTTTGTGCCATGGAGAGGTTGAAGAATGTTGAGCAGTCGGGGACCAGTGGTGGTAAGGAATGTATACAGGTGCTGGGCACTCCTGGGGTTCAGACTTGAGAGCTCTGCAGTGCCTACAACAGCCCTAAGCCTGCCCTCCCTGACCCACACATGCCAAAGGAGCTGTGCTGTGCCCTGGACAGCTGTGGAGAGCAGACAGCCTGTTCTGGGCCATGTGGGCTCTGCTGTGCCGTGGGGAGTGGGGAATTGCCCTCGTCTCTCATAAGCTGGGTGCTGCTGCCATCACTCACTGGTGTAGGGTATGCTTTGAGAAGTCACCCAAGAATGGTCTGAATGGATGCAAGAGAATCATGGGAGGCCTTGTGCCCTGGGTGTTTGGACCACTTCAATGTTTGAAAGCTATGCCCCTGTCTTTGGGAGAGCTTGTTGAGCTCCAGCTTCTCAGGCCCCCTTACTGGGGAGCTGGGTCCTTATGGGGCTGAACCCTGACTCAGTGCCTTCACCTAGCATCTCTGTTAATTTTTTTTTGGTTTTACGAGACGGGGTTTCTCTGTATTGTTTTGGAGTCTGTCTGTCCAGCCCAGCCTCAAACTCGCAGAGATCTGCCTGCCTCTGCCACCCGAGTGCTGGGATTAAAGGCGTGCGCCACCACTGCCCGGCTCATCTCTGTTAATTCTAAGGCAGGCGAGCAGACACACTGGCTATATGGTAGGTAGAAGATGGGAGTCTTTCACATGGAGGAAGCTTCTGGGTTTTCCAGCTCATTGGGTATCATCACCCATGGAAACACCCACCCCATGGTCATTATGAAAGTTTGTTTTATTTTAGTTGTGTTCAGTAAAACTGTATAAAAACTAGTGGTCCATTTCACCCCAATCTGTTATTATTTTTAAAGTTTTAATTAGCCATACAGAGTAATTATAGGCTTCCTTATGGCATTTTCACATACACTTAGTTTTGATTGAATTCTTCCCCCTCCCCCCCCACTGAAGATTGGATAATAAAAAATTAGCAGGTATACACAATGGAGTTTTATTCAGCTATAAAGAAAAAAAATAAAACTATGAGATTTGCAGGAAAATGGATGGAACTGGACATTGTTATATTAAGTTTGGTAACCTAGGCTTGGAAAGATATACACCAGACATTGGCTTTCACATGCAGACCCTAGCTTCGAATTGTTATATTTGTGTATTTGTGTGGGAGTGAGTATTTATGTGGGTAGAGACCAGGTGTGTTAGCTAGGGCCCCTTTTGCTATGAAGAGACACCACTGACCATGGCAGCACTTATAAAGGAAAACATTTAATGGAGACTAGCTTACAGTTCAGAGGTTTAGCCCATTATCGTCATGGAGGGAAGCAAGGGACCTAAATTAAGAAAATGCCTCCGTAAGATCAGGCTATAGGCAAGCCTGCCTAGCATTTTCTTAATTAGTGATTGTTGTGGGAGGGCCAAGTTCTTTGTGGGTGGTGCCATCCCTGGGCTGGTGTTGGTCCTGGGTTCTATAAGAAAGCAGACTGAGCAAGCCATGAGGAGCAAGCCAGTAAGCAGCACCCCTCCATGGCTTCTGCACCAGCTCCTGCCTCCAGGTCTCTGACCTGTTTGAGTTCCTATCTTGGCTACCCTCAGTGGACTATGACTCTGGATAGGTAGGCCGATGCTTTTGGTCGTGGAGTTCCATCACAGCAATAGCAACCCTAGAAAAGACACTGAATTTTAGCTGCAGTCAACTTCTTGCCAGAGACTCAGCCTGTCTGTGGCATTTTCAGCCCTTACCTCCCCATCTCCCAAGAGAGCGGAGTCCGTAGCAGAGGTCTGATGACATGTGGATTTCTTGGTTCTTCCTCATCAGACATGAACAGAAACAGTCTTATGCAAGTTGTGACTCAGTCCTACCACCCCCACAGACTCCACACACTCAGGAGATTGACTGAAGGGAACAGAGGGAGCTTGCAAAACAGCGTGCCTGTAGACAGACTTAACATCCTAAGGAAAACGTACCAGTCCCCAGCCCTCAGCCCTGCAACATTGTGACAGCCATTCCCAGGGAACTAGGGGGGAGATTTAAGAGGCCAGAAGGAGGGGGAAGAGGACAGAGGGGTTTTTACTTTAAGGTCCCCTTGGATACACTCACGCCCGTAGGACACAGGGGGCCATTCTGAGTCAGCCAGAAAGTAGAGGCTGTGCCATCTGCCCCTCACACAACCAAAGACGGAGGCACCTGCTTAACTTCCACTGTCACTCGTGGAATCACTTTCAGTCTCTGCATCTGTAGAACATTCTCCTAACCACTCCCGGGGAGAGCGTCGAAAACTTGCTCCAGGAGGATTACCATTTCAAGCCTCCGGCCTAGCTGTCCTCCATATTGGGAAGACAAGCCAACCTTGCCTCCCCAGGCATTATTTTAGCAGGGACCCAGGTGAGGCAGGACTTTACTGATGATCGGGGATGCAGCATTGGCCCATTGCCATCGCAGCCATTCCTCAGGGGGCCTTGCCATGGAATCCTCATCCATGGCGCTACCGCAAAGGCGGCCACAGCCAATCAGCTCACATGCGCACTTATCCTGAAGGTCCTCCCATGGCCCCTCCCACCTGCATTCGGACTGGGCGGCTCTGCCCAAGGCCTCATCGTCATGAGTTTCTGCATTTGACTAAGGACGGCCCTCCGAGCTAGTCCGCCCTGCAGCTAGGGTTCGCGTGCTGTCTGTAAGCTACGATGTGGGAAGAAGACATTATTTATAACCAGCCACCTCTGCTTGAAGGAAGGAAGGAAGGCGCGGAGTCGATGAGTTATAGTAACGCGGGAATGCGGGTCCGCCCCCCTCCAGGTGTCTGCCCTCACTTGCCTGAGTGTGGGTGGATAGTTGCCCCCTGCGTGGCTGAGAGTGAGCGGAGGGGACAGAGGAGGCTTCCCTTCCTCTGGGTGTCGGACCTCTAGGATGTGTTCACATGTGTCAAACGCAGTACGCTGGTTTACAAAGGAAATCTATTACACTGGTATCGTTATGTAGTCCTGTGCATTAAAAGTGTTAAAATGCATGGCGGCTGGAGAGGCAGCTTAGCGGTGAGAGCCTTAGCGGCTCTTGCAGTGGACCTGGGTTCAACTTCCAGACTGACGTGGTGGCTCACCACGCCTGTAATGCCAGTCCCAGGGCTCCGTGGCACCTAGGCACGCATGCAATACACATACATACATCCAGGCTGAGCACTTGTACAAACAAAAACAAAATCCCCCAGAAACTAAAAAATACAAGTGTGAAGTGTATGTGTGTGTTTGTAGCTCAGGCTAGCCTGGGATTTATGATTCCCCTGCCTCAGCCTCCAGAGTACTGGGAATTCCAGTGCATGTCCAGCTTGGGCTGATCATTCATTTCTCATAGCCGGCTTAATTTCAGTGAGCAGTGGGAAGAAATGTTCCGAGCCTTGGGGAACAAATGTCTGTTATCTGCCTATCCATCTGTCTGCCTGTCCGTCCGTCCGTCCGTCCATCCATCCATCCATCACCTATCACCTCTGAAGTGTGCTCTAGAGACCCCTGTGTTGACGCTCACTCCCCAGCCCGTGGTGTCACGGGGAGGTGCTGGAACCTTTAGCATATGGAGAAGTCAAGTGACTTGGTGACTTGGGGCCTTGTCCTCGAGTGGAGCCCCTGCTGGGAGAATTTTCTCCTTAGGGTGCCTGTGACTAGGCAATGCCACTCCCCCTTTTAAGGTCCCAGTGACAAAGCAAGATACAAGAGTCCCTGCTGGGGAAACACCCAGTTGACTGGGCTTCCCTTACAGAGCAGGGGTGAGGGGTTGCTTGCAGGAATGTGGGTGACCTTCAAGCAGCCATCCCAGAAAGTCTGCAACCAGCACAGAGGCCAATTCCTTACCCAGAGCCACACAGGTACATCCCTGTCCTCTATCTTCCGTAGCCTGCATATTTCTAACCCCTCCTCAGGCTGCCCCTCCCCCCCACACCGTGTGGTATTAGGGCAAAATTGCATACAGCTGTTTGGAAGGAGTTGCTAGATACTCAGGTGAGATACTCAATGGGGAGTGAGGGTCAAACGACCCTCCCCACCCTCTTCCCTAAGGGGAATACCAGCAGTGAACAGGCACAGCTGTGAAGATCATTGGCGAGCAGACGCCGCCGGCCTGAGGGAGATGGCGGCTGCTTGGCTTGGAGGGTAGTGCATCAAGGCCTCCTCTGCCACACAGTCACCTCATACGATGTCGCTGCAGGTTCCAAAGCATCAGCGCCCACCAAGGGAACCCTCTGAGAGTGAGTCAAAAGAAACCCGTCCTCTTTGTGTGTTGGGTGTCTAAAGGACTTTCCACCAGTAATGGAAAGCTAGCACAATTTTTTTCTCCTTCCTTCCTTCCTTCCTTCCTCCCTCCCTCCATCCCTCCCTTTCTTCAATCCTTTCTTCTTTCCTACAAAAGATTTATCTAAGCAATATTTTTAATGTATTGTATGTACATGACATTTAGTTCTAGTCCACATAAGTGTTCTGGTGAACACAAATGCGCCTCTGTGTGTGCGTGCGTGCGTGCATTTGCAATACTTGCATGAAACAAATGAAATGTCTTGGTGAAGGATGCGACCCAAGCTCCATGAAGCTGTGTTTATATAAACCTAACACACATAGCTTAAGGATAGCTTTGTATAGTATTTCCTATAATTTTATGCACGAATCAAAATTTCACGGTATGGGATTTTTCCACTTATGGTGTCATGTCAGTGCCCTAACTGTTTGGGATTTCAGGACAGTTCATATTTCAGGGTAACCGAGCCTGGGTAACTCTGCGTGGATGCGCTTGAGGCTGTTACTAAAACTGTGGTGAAATCCGTTGGTCTTTTTTGTTTGATTATCCAAAGCCAAGCGTCTTGCCAATGCTGTTGAGCTATTACTGTAAAAAGTTCTCTGGGAGTGCTGCAAAGCATCAGAAATATTGAATTCACCCAATTAGCCTTTCTATCTGTTATTTTAGCTGCTATTACTTGACTTTATCTTTGGTGGACAACCTGGTCCCTGGGACATTGATTGCCAACAACTGGGATTCTGGGTGTCTCCCAAGTAGCCCTTGATGATCAAGGAAAAATCAAAATCCCAAGGAGACGTGCAGATCTGACTGGGCTGATAAATCAGGGCTCTCTTCCCTCAGGGGTCAGGAGCCTCCTTTTGGTGCAGGCTGGGCTAGGGAGACACCCAGTCAGACCTCTGACTCACTTGACTGCCCCGGAGCCAGAATGTTAACTGCCACCAAAGGAGCCGTAACTCATGGAATGCTCCATTGATATTGTTGGGTCATTGATCTTTCCTTGGGACCTGACAAAATTACAGCTTCTCTGGACAACTGTGATGGTGTATTAAGTTCCTGGGACAGTGGAAACAAAGTGGTGTGAGCTGGGCAGTTTACACTTGGAAATCCATTAACTTGGTCCTGGAGAAGGTATGTCTGAGACCAGCATGGGTCTCCCCAGCCAGGAGGAAGGGTCTACTCAAGGTCTCCCCTTGTGAACAGATGGTTTCTTCTCTGTACACATAGCTCTTGTTATGAGTGATGAGAACACACCCCAGTAACCTCATCATATCCCCAGGACCTCTGTCAGGATGCTGTCTTCAGACACAGTTACATGCTGACATATCCAGGACTGCATTAGGATTTCCACCTTTTTCTTTTCTTTTCTTTGAAAGGGGTGCAGTTCAACTTGTCATATCTAGGCAGGTGATTCTGCCTGTCTTCAGAAAGTCCAGAGTAGGTAGGTGTCCTTTCCTCTCCTTCTGCCTCTTGCCATGGCTCCCATGGGGGACTGCTTGGGCTAATTAGCATGCGAGCTAATGTGACATACAGATGTGACGCACCTGCACTTTGTGGTTTGTCCTGGCTTCTTATGTCCCTGCGTTGGCCACAAGGAGAGCATGTCCAAGTGGCTACTGACAGGCAGTCTTGGTTCCAAAATATGTGTCTGTAACCTCAGTATCTGGGGACAGAGACACATAGATCCTTGGGGCTTAGTGGCCAGCCAGCCAAGTGGAAGTGACAACTCATTCAGGTTTAATGAGAGATTTTGTTTCAGAAAGGTGGGGATGGAGTGATGAATACACCCAGTGTTTATCCCTGGCCTACACACGCACACACCAGCATACACACACATACGAACACCCCCACGCACACACATACCAGCACACACACGCACACATGCATACACACCAGCACACACACATACACACACCCACATGCACAGGCACATACCAGCACATACGCACATGCACACACCAGCATACACACACACACCAGCATACACACACATTCACACACACATACACACACACCAGCATACACCCACATGCACACACACACCAGCATACACCCACATGCACATACACCCACATGCACACACACCAGCATACACACACATGCACACACACAGACTCACAGAAAGAGGGACACAGAAAGAAGTAGACAGAGACAGACAGAGGGGGTCATGGAGGAGAGAGGGGGGAGGAGAGAGAGGGGGGGAGGAGAGAGAGGGAAAGAGGAATTCACGAGAAAGGATAAAAATCACAGATGGGAAAACAAATGAGCTGGTGGCAGAGAGACTGGCCCCTCACAAACTCAGTGTGGGGTCACCACCATGGGAAAGTGACCAGGTTCGAATCTGCCGGCTCAAGGGGCCTTCGGGAATGTCTCCAACCGCCTGCCAGTTGCTCTGTGCACCAATCATTCCTCCCCGGACCGCAGACCGAGGTGCCAGAGGCAGCAGAATCTTTCCCGGGTGTTCCCCAGGCCAAGTTGGAAGAAGATGTAGACCACAGTGTGGGCGGAACACACAGAACAAAAACCCATCTTTCGAACCAGCCAACACCAATTCAATCAGAGGGAAAGGTAAGCCTGAAATGCCAGCCTGCGCCAGGGAGAGGGGCCAGGGTTGAAGACGCCTTGGAGTGAGCCCTGAGGGCAGGGCAGAGTGGCAGAGCGAGGGGTCTGTCAGTGACAGGGGATGACGGCGTCTTCTAAAGCAGCCTGAGGGTCAGATACGACTGTCCTCAGTTGTAGTGCCCTGTGGAAAGGAGCTGGTCTCCTGCTCAGCCACGGCTGAGAATTCCAACGTGCCAGCATCGGAGTTTTGAATCAGAGTTGTGAGAGCCTTCTGTGTGAAAGCCTCTGAGACAGACAGGGTCTCTCACTGTGACCTAGGGCTCACCAAGTAGCCAGACTGGCTGCTTGGAAGTCCCCTGGCCTCTGCCTCTTCTGCCTCCCCAGCCCTGCGATTGCAAGCATAGGCACACACCTGCCTATCGTCCCCCAGCCTCCGGAGATGGCTGGTCTCCTTAGAAAGTGCGGACTCAAGCTTTCTACTGGAGCCGTGAAGTTTCCACTCCTCCTGTAGGTGTGAGAAGTGATTAGATGTTAGATGACGAGGCTGGGTCTTGGCCAACACTCACGGAAGTCCTCCCAGGCTGTCTTTTGTCACCCGGCATGCATCTCTCTAAGGTTGCCAAGCAGCACAGAAGATGCCCGGCTAAAGCAGAATTTCAGAACCAGAACGGCTAAATGTTTGGTACACGTGTGTCCCATTAATATTTGGATTACATTAAAAGTATCTGTTGTGCGTATGAGACCCGGGCTGGACTAGGTGGCCTTGGTGTTTGTTACCGACTGGACACCGAACACGTTCTTCAGACACCAGAACTCTAAAGGGGTCACTGCCAACACCGTGACAGGATTTGGGAGGCCAAGCTGGGCTGGCATGTGGTGGTGATGTAAGGGGGGATGATATATGATCAGGGGACATCGTATACATGTGTGAAATTGTAAAAGAAACAAACCAGCCCCACAAATAAACAACAGGTACATGAATAAAAGTAAGCTATAGGGGAAGAGAGAAGAGGGGTGGGGGAGGATGGGGGGTAAGAGAGAAGAGGGGGGGGGAGGAGGAGAGGAAAGAGGGAAGATAAGAGGAGGGTATTGACAGAAGACCTCCTTAGATTCAGGAGCAGACTGTATCGGCTGGGAATATGGGCACTCCGCTGCTAAGGACAGCTAGTCCTGGCTGGAGTTGGGACACAGGAAGGGCAGCCAATTTCTTGGCAAGTCCTCTTGAGGTCTCCATTTACCCATCAATAAGCCGGATCTCCCAGCCCCAGAGGGTGGTTTGCAGTGACCAGTGAAGACATTTGAGAGCCGCTGGGGAGCAGAGAAAGGAGTTACCATGGGGTTCGATGCGGTATGGAGATGTTGGGGTGAAAAATCTCCAAGCAGGAAATCCAAGAATTCCCCAATTAAGATTATGCTAAAAGATCAACCCATCCTCGGGCAAAAGAGGAAAAAACAAAACAGAGCAAACCCAAGAAGGAATCTTAGAGACAGAGAAAAAGAATCCAGCCAGACATTCCCATACTCACCCCTTTTGTGGGATTTCGGTTTAGAGGAAAGTCTCATAAGTAGGTCCTGAGTGGCATGATCATTCAAAGTCTCTCCTTTGGGGACATTCTCTGCTGTAGGCGGTGGTGGGACTCCGGGTATCAGAGGAAGTACCTGCCTGAGGAACCAGTGCCGAGAACCGGACACAGTCACCATGCTGCGGGATAGTGTCTGTGTTCTTGAGTGTGTGGAAACTTCCAGACACCTTTCACCAAAGCCAAAGGGGGACATGCAGGAGCCATCTCAAGCACAGAAGGTTCTAGAATAAGCGTCTATTGGCGATCATTTGCCTGTCTCTGTTCCTTTGGGTGTCTGGGAGCCATGTGTATGTGGCTACTTGACCTTTGCATGGCTGCAGTAGAAGTTCCATCAGGTAGAGCCCCATGGTAATAACGGGAAGGGGGGGCCCCACTCACTTCATGCTATGGGCAAGCCTGAAGGGTGAGCGTGCACTGGGGAGTGTTACCCAGCATGCTCTAGGCTCAAGAACATGACTTCAAATGGGCTTGCAGTCTGTCCACACGTGTGTGTGTGTGTGTGTGTGTGTGTGTGTGTGTGTATGTATGTATGAACACACTCAGAGGCCAGATCAAAATCAGATATCTTCCTTTCTCACCATCGTATCTTTTTTTTTTTTGGTAGTCAAGCTTTTATTTCTCTCTCTCCTTTTTTTTTTTTTTTTGTTTTTTTGAGACAGGGCTTCTCTGTATAGTTTTGGAGGCTGTCCTGGAACTTGTTCTGTAGACCAGGCTGGCCTCGAACTCACAGAGATCCGCCTGCCTCTGCCTCCCGAGTGCTGGGATTAAAGGCGTGTGCCACGAACGCCTGGCTTTCTTTCTCTTTTTTAAACATACTAATCTCAGTTCCCCCTCTCTCCCCTCTTCCCGCTCCCCCCCCATCTTACTCCTCAGAGAGGGTGGCCTCCCATGGGGAGTCAACGAAGTCTGTCCCATCACCGTGTTGAGGCAGGACCAAGCCCCTCCTGCCCACCCTCCCAGAGAGACTGAGCAAGGTATCTCTCTACAGGAAATGATCTTTAAAAAAGCCAGTCATGCACTAGGGATAAATCCTGGTCCCACTGCTAGTGGCTCTACAGACTACCCAAGTCACCCACTGTCACCTGTATTCAGTGGGTCTAGTTTGGTCCTATGCAGGTTCCCCAGCTGCCAGTCCAGCACCAGTGAGCTGCAGCTAGCTTGGGTCGGCTGTTACTGTGGGTATTATCACCTCTCTCTCTCCTCACTGACTTTGAGATCAGCCTCTCACTGATTGGCTGTGCTGGCTGACCAAGGAGCTGTGAGCATCCTCCCGTCTCTGCCCTGACTGTCTCCGGAACTGGGGTTACAATGTGTGTTAGCTAGTCCTGGCTTTTATGTGGGTGCTGGGAATCCGAACTCGGGCCCTTACTTAGCATGGCGAGCGCCGACTGACCTCATTTACTCTTTAAAGGTCCGTGAGTTGTCCAAGACAGATATATGCAAACGGCAGAAAGTCAGGGGAATCCCAGTGGGAGGAAGGAGTGAATTCACCTGGAGTCACACGGACACTTTGGATGTTTGGCGGGGGCATTCTGGTTACTGATACTTTCCCCATTTCTCCTTCTATTTATTGCTTTTATCATGAGCACTTTCCAAGCCACTGAAAAGCATTTAAAAAGCGTTTTCTTATGGAAACATGAAAACATGTGCAAGTTAAATATCATGGATTTAGCGCAGTGACCACCCAGCCAACTGGGTCATCACCCGGCCTGTCTGCTGATATCCTCCCAAGCCTTGCTCCCTTCCAGAAACCTCCAAGGAGTTTACAGGAATCAAATTTTATCTCCAGATGCTTTGGCATGCCTGAGCTGAAAGATAAGAGTGACAAAAACTTGAAATGAATGACAAACGGTTTTCTCACGTAAAAATAATACTTCGAGTATCGGAGTGTTCTGCCAGCATTTATGTTTTCCAGATTATCATACGAATTTTATTTTTCAAAAGCTTGTTTGTGTTGGAATCGAAACAAATTCAATTCATTCATCTAGACTGACTCCCATCCCATTTTATTTTATTTTTTTAAATTGAGGAAACCAATGTAGTTACTTTGTGGTTTTCCGTGCGTGGGCGTGGAAGATGTGGGCATATGCCACGGTTGCTGATGTGCCTGCCATTGTCCCTAGCATGTTTGGATGTCATTTGGCTTTCCTGTCAGAGCCAGAGGTTTGAGCCAGATTCAAGTTCAGGTGTTGGGGACATCAAGATGATGTCACTGGTGCTGCCTTGCACAGGAACTGTCCGTTTTCTTGTGATCATGTGGGCTTGATTCCCCAGTCCATCCCGGCGCTTCAGAGTGTCACACCGAGTCATTCTTCTTTGTATACTGATTGGAATCAGTTTCTTACCCAATCCTCTGGTCGCCCTGTGAAGACTGGAGCACAGGCAAGGATGGTAAACCAGGGGCTGGAGAGGTAGCTGCAGATGGGGAGAATGTGAAAATGCTCTAGAAAAGTCAAGGTCGTCCTGGCGAGCCATGAATAGTCTGCATCTCAGGTTTGATTGACCGAGCGTTAACAAATAGTCGTCATAACGGTTTCCCGTCTGCATGGAGTTGTGGGAGAAATGGGACACTGACATTCTGGCCTCAGTTCTGATGCCAGTGGGCCCCACAACCTTCAGCAGGTCCCTCGGGCTCTCTGAACCTGTTTCTTCATCCGTTTATTGGGACAGCAGCCCCCGGCCCCCTCCATGTTAGGAATAGGACAGGACAGAGTCACTGATAAAAATGTTCCATAGACTGCAAAACCTGGTGTGCAAGGCTGAGTACTCCTTTGGGGGGGGCGGGGTCATGTGACACATACCAATAACACCCCTCCCTCCCTGTCTTTCCTTCTCTCTTCTTCAACCCCCCCCTTTTCTTTCTGTAGTGCCTGGCATAGGACCCAACCTCCACCACTTAACCTCACCCTGCGGTTTGGGCCACAGTACACTTTATTAATCTAGTTTTAGAACGTCCCTTGAGCACGTCGGGTCAGATAAAGGAGTTAAAAACTGTGCACTGGCGGTCCCTTCTCCACTCATTAAAAGTGTCTGGGCGGGGGGTTGGAGACGACACAGCTCACCTGTTAAGAAGACCGGCTGCCCTTCATGGGACCCAGATTTGAGTCCTAACACCCACACGGCAGCCCACAGCCGTCTGTAACTCCAGTCCTAGAAGATCCTGTGCCCTCTCCCACCCTTTGGAGGCAGTATATGCAGGATGAACACCCATGCATATGAAATGAAGGAATGAATTAATTAAAATTTGCATAATGGTCTTGGGCCACGGAGTTTCAATGGAGCAGCCTAGGTGAAAGGAATAGGAGGCCGCTCACCCCCTCGTGATGGGAGCTCTGGGTCCTCACGGACCACCAGGAGGAGGCTGTTCTGTCAGGTCTGGAAGAATGTGCCCAGGCTCCCTGAACGACAGGACCCCAAACAAGGTTTCCGGGACCCATCAGGAGCACCGGCTTGCTGGGCCTTTTCTTGTGGAGCACCCCAGCTTGCTTCTGCACAAACAGTACTTGATGGTATTTTTTTCCACCATCTACAGTGACCGCTCACACAACTCTAGAAGCTCTGGAACTATAGCCAAGTGCTAAAAATAGCAGCAATCGTAAAGAACCTGGGTGTTTCCCAGCGTCTAAGAAGAGCCTGTAGGGCTCGCAGGGAGGCATGGGTGTGCCCTTCTCTCCAGGTAGCTCTGTGTTCTCTTTCTTCCCCTCCTCGCTTCTCCCCTTCCCTCCCCCTCCCTCTCTCTTCTCCTTGCCTTTCTTCTCCCTCCTCCCCTCCCCTCCCCTCTCCTCTCCTCTCCAACTCCTTTCTCTACACACTAGTCCCATCTTGTTCTTGGTTTCACTTTCTGCAATGTCAGCGACCCAAACACAGCGGTAGTGTATGTAAAATGTGAAATGGAAAAAAATCCCAGAAATGAGCAAAAGGTATGTTGTAAGGCATGCGCTGCTCTGAGCAGGGTGACGGAGTCTTGCCACCCCGTTTAGTCTGCCAGGGTTCTGAGTCATCCTCAGTCTGCCGCACGGTGTCCACGTGGTGTGTGCTACCTTCCCGGAAGTCACCTAGCAGCTGTCTTGATGGATATACACAGTGTGTTTAGGATAAGCCTTATTCCAGGTAGTTCAGGCTCAGGAGAAAGAGTAGCAGCCCTGACAATGCTGTATGCCAAGCTGAAGCTGCAGGCACTCCACTCCCGCCAGCCGCCTGGGTTCTGTTGCTGCTTTAGCCCCAAATAATGCACGAGACACTATACTAACTGGGAAGCTGTTGGCCGTTTGCTTGGTTTCTTATCGGCTAGCTCTGACTTAATGATTAACCCATAACTGCTATTCTGAGTATTTCCACGTGGTCTTCTCTTACCGGAGAAAGGGTCCGGACCTCTTACTCCTCTGGTGTCCTACATTGTGCCTGACTGTGCCTCTCCTTCCCAGAATCCTCCTCGACTCCTAGTCCCACCTATCTTGCTTCCCTATTGGCCAACAGTGCTTTACTAACATATACACAGAAGGACTTCCCCCATCAAAGTGGAAAGCAGACTCTTGATTTAGAAAAGGAACGAGCAATGTTGGGAGTTGATGGGGCCCACAGTACAAGCAGGTACTGAAGGGAGAAGCATTTATACAACTCAGGGCAGCACAGTACTCATTTTATTATTCATCATTAGCTTCTTTTTAAGATTTACTTTATGTGCATGACTGCTTGCCTACATGTACATGTGTAGACCATGTGTGTGCAGTGTCCGCAGAGACCGGAAGAGGGTCGGGAAGCCCCTGGAGCTGGAGTTACAGACTGTGAGCCACCATGTGGTTCCTGGGTACCGAACCCGGGTCCTCTGAAAGAGCAGTAGGCATTCTTAACTCCCAGAACCGTCTCCCAGGCCAGAACGTTTTTGCTTTGTTTGGACTGGCTTATGCAAATGTTTTTCTCACATGTGTGTATGTATGTGTGCAATGTGTGTGCTAGTGCCCGTGGAGGGCAGAAGAGGAAGTCAGATCCCCTGGAACTGGAATTATAGACGGTTGTGAGCTGCCACATGGGGGCTGGGAATCAAACCTGGGTCCTCTGGAAGAGCAGCCAGTGCTCTTATCCCCTGAGATATCTCTCCAGCCCGGGTCCTGTTAACTTCTCCTGCCTAGTTTCCAATTTAAATCTTGTCATTGTTATGTGTACTGGAAATAAACACAATGCATACACTCTGCAGTAGGAACCGAGGTTTCAGGTGTCTGCTGGGGGATCCTGGGTGTTTCTTCTGCCCATAGGGGGGCGCTCCTCTATGCAGTCAACTGAATTAACCAGTACAGGTTAAACCCTGGAACAAATAACCCAGTGTTTCAGGGGCTTAGCACAGAAGAATCTCCTTCTTATGTACAAGCCAGTTGTGGGGGAAGCTCCAGGGACGGGGAAGATGTCTGCTCCATTTAGGGTCCTAGTGTCCTCTGGCTTGAGATGTGTGTGAGCCATCTTACCGTTGCTGTGACAAAACACCAGGGACAACTGACCAAACAGGCGAAAGGCTTGATGGGCTCTGTTCCAGAGGTCTCAGCCCTCGGTTGCTTGGGCCTTCGAGAGAGCATTGTATCCCTGCAGCCGTGCAGGAAGATGCGGGGCTGAGATATGGGGGGGGGGGGGGATGCCTGTAAGTCTAGTCTGGAGGGTGGAGATTTTTCAGGTCAGACACACAAGCAAGCACTTATGCCTGCTGGCACACACGCGGGCGGTTTTCTCACGTGCCAGCCCATGCTGCCATGTTTTGGTTGGTGCTGCATGTAGAGGAGGCCCCAACAACAACAGGCGGGCTCTGGAGAGCCAGAGACGGGCTCTGCCCTGAACGTCCAGAAGCCCACCTTGCTGATAACTCTCTCTTAGCTCAGTGCTACTCACGTTCCTGCCTTTGAGATCAGTGGTTTTCCCACATTACCTGGTATCAGTGTGCTTAGGACCCAGGGAGTTTGTTCTTCCTGGGTATAACTGCTCGGAGTAGCTCTTTTCTCTTTCTCCTCTCTCCCTACCTTGTTTCCTCCCATTTCTTTATGTCAGCCCAGACTGGCCTTGAACTTGTGATCTTCTGCGAGGATCGTAGGTGGTGACTCTCCCTGCCCCATCTCTACTTCCTTTCTTATACCATCGCTCCTGCTTATACCCTCCCTCTCCATCCTGTCTGTTGTCTTCTGGAACCTGGAACTCAATGGAGAGAAGCTGAGTTGCAGGAAGGACTTCAAAAGTGAGTGTAATAAATTTCCAAAAAGGAGCTGTGGGAAAGGAGAAGACATTGAGACGGGGGGGGGGGGGGGAAGAAAAAAAAAGGTTAGGAAAAATTAAATATGAGATTGGACGGCAGGCTCTGTCAGAGCTGGGAAGTCAAGGGGTGAGTGACGAATGCCCTCCAGTCCAGTGTCTAACCTGCTGCCTGAGGAGGGGGGCCGGGCCGGAAGCCAGGCAGAGGAAGGGAAGGTCCAGGTCCTCCGTAAGCACTGGCCTCAGAAGGGACGCGTGGTCCGTAAACTCACTGACGTGGGACGCCTCCCCTCCGTTGCAGGAGAGCAAACTGGTGAGCGGCTACACACTTTCTTCCTCAGACTCCCTGCAGGCCTTTGCCTGTTTAGAGCAATGGCGAGGTTAACTGTCCACTTGGCGGGAAGATCTGTCTTACTTGTGGGCAGGACCTCTCTGCATCGGGGGACCCTGGAGCGTGTGAACGGAGAAAGAGCGTGTGCCGGGCATGAATATGTTCTAGGCAGTGCGAGCAGCTGCCTCGACATCCTCACCGTGATGGACTGTGCCTTGAACTGTGAGCTGAAATAGATCCTTTGCACCCCGAGTTGCATTTTTTTCCCCCAGGGTACTTCACTGAAGCATCAGGAATAGAAATGAAGACATTTAGGTTGTGGAGTCTGTAACGTGTAGTTTTTCCTGCCATCTGCCTGGACCCTGCCACAGCTGCAGTCCCCAAATAACACACAGGATGCTCTATTAATTATGAAGCTGTTGGCCGTTTGCTTGGTTTCTTACTGGCTGTCTCTGACTTAAGTATTTAACCCATAATTGCTAATCTAAGTATTTCTCTTACCAGAGAAAAGGGTCTGGACCTCTTACTCCTCTGCATAGTGTCTCTCTGCCTCTCTTTCCCAATCCTCCTCGACTCCTAGTCCCATCTATCTTGCTTCCCTGTTGGCCAACAGTGCTTTATTCAACAACCAGTAAGAGAGACAGATTTACAGAATGACGTCTCCCATCAGGAGTCGGAGGGCGGAGGACACCTCCCACAGTGTGGCATCCTCTGCTTTTTATCCCCTGCACCCGTGTACCTGTGGCTCCAAATCGACAGACGGCCCCTATGGTAGGAAGGGGGCCCACTGAAGGTTTTATGAGGGTATCTATTTGTGAACATGCTGCTTTCTGAACGCCACACATCGTGGGACTTGCAGGTGCTTGACTGGCTTTGGGGACCAGTCAGTCACTACTCTCATTGAGACTGTTGAAAATTGAAGAGTCTCTGTGTACTGGTCATCACGCCCCTGTTCTGACCAGTTATCTCCATGCAAAGATACTTCCAGCATGCCGCCCACCCCCAATATACACGTGTTCTCTGTCACCATTCCCAACTTGTCCATCAGGAGCCTCTGTTTTCAGTGGCCTCTCAATCACCTGTTAGTGGTGGGTTTGCTGTGGTTTGCATTTCTGTAGTATGCAATCATAACTTTTATTTTTTTATTTTATTTTTTTGGTTTTACGAGTCAGGGTTTCTCTGTATTGTTTCGGAGGCTGTCGGTCCAGCCTGGCCTCGAACTCACAGAGATCCGCCTGCCTCTGCCTCCCGAGTGCTGGGATTAAAGGCGTGCGCCACCACCGCCCCTGCTGCAATCATAACTTCTTAAAAAAAGTCAATCGCGTATGTGTCCTGGGAGACGGTAAAGGCCCACATAGGTGCAAGAGGAAGAAGGGATTTCTGAATTTATAGATCATACCACAATATTTATGTCTTCATAGCTTCTTTCCCCCCTGTTTCTCCTGCTAAGTTCTCAGGCACATGCATGGTGTGTGTGTGGTGTGTGTGTGTGTGTATGTGTGTGTGTGTGTGTGTGTGTGTCTTGCAGACAGGAGCCTTTGAAGCAATTCTTCTCCAGGAAGTTTCTATGATGCCAGCTCCCTATGATAACCCTGGAAAACACACTGAGCAGCTTTCTCATGTGCCAGCCCATGCTGCCATGTTTCGGGAACATGTTAATTGTCTTGGCTGATTTCTCTCCGTAGGTTTCCAGTAATTTTTGGTTGTTTGGGTTTTTGTTGTTGTTGTTTTACTTTTTTTTTAAAATATCTCTGTTAGGCCACTGCAGGGGTCAGTGGCCCCTTTCTATACAAAGCCTGTAGTAGCATCCTGCCTGTGAACCTGTAACAGTGGCCACATCCTTTGGGCATGGATTCAGGTGCAGACATGACCCGTTTAAGGTAAAGGATCTGGGGACAGACGCCCCCTTGGGTAGTGTAGAGCATCGGAGAGGCAGGGTCTGCATCCTTTGAGCAGGAATGCCGTAACAGTTACTTACTATTACCCCTTAAGTTCATCTCCAGCAAAAACACCTATTTATCATTATCTTGGGGTCTGGTGAACTCATTGAAACCCTGCCTTCTTGGAGCTTGCTTGGGTATCTCCAGTTTGCCAGGCTGCCTTGCAGATCCCCGAATGGCTGACCCACTAATGTATGCCATTCACTCTCCGAACTTTATATAAACTTTACTCTGGTATTTGTAGAGCTCTATTTAATGGACATTTAATATGACGTTAAGTGTGAAATTATGTGTTTATGCACTGCAGTAACATCTGTACATGTGTAACAGGTTAGGTTTCTCTGTCAGGGTTGTATCTGATGATAAGGGTAAAACTGAGATGTAGTGGTATCTTGTTCCGCCAATGGACTTGGGGTGGTGGCCACACCTTAGGGCGTGGCTTCAGGAAGGGGGGGCGCTGGCTCGTGCTTTCTTGGGTTGTGGTCGGAACGTCCTCAAGGCCAGAGGCTGTGTCTGTGCCACTACAGCGAGATCCTGTTCTGATGATAAATTTCATTAATGAAGAGAATGCTCAATGGTATATTTTCCATGGTGAGATAGAATAAGCAGTCTTGCATGGAGAAACTAGATTATTCTTAGTCGGGTCTTCTGCCTCTGACCAAGGGGCACCAAGAGACACCAAGATTTCTTTCAATCCATACTTTGGGGGGTTGTACTGGCATCCCTCCTCAGGGTTTTCTGGACCAGCATTGGGCAGAGGGGGTTAGCCATGACTCCTGGGAATGAATCAAGGCACTCCACGGCACTGTAGGCACTTGCCTAATCCCGCCTCTGCAGACTACGCTACTTATGGCCTGTCATCCTCACCTCAGCGGGCTCGGGGAGAACATTCCGTGGTAAGTTTAGG